GTAATAGTCATAGCAGTTGTAGTCATGTGGGCTGTGATTTGAAAACCATCTCCAAATCAATTGTTCCCTTTTCTGCATTTATTTTGTTTTTCAAGGACATCAAGCCTCTCCATATCAGCTCATCTGACATAAAAAATGGAAATAAAGTCCTTTAGGCCTTCACTAAGTGAAAAGTCTTTTGGTGCAAATAATTCTTCCAAAATCGCAAATTCACAAATTTGACCATGCACGCTCCGCTGGCCAGAGGCAGCATGAGGGCATAAAGAAACATCATTCAGTCATTTAACAGACAGTGGGAACAGATTTGTTCAAAAGTCCCTTGACATCACAAAAGAAGGCATCACTTTTTAACACACATGTAGTATCACTTTGCACAGTTGCCCTTCACTATGGGAATAGGAAGCAGTGGTGTCTTTTTGTCCGGAATTATGCTTCGATTCCAGTCCCGAGGTGTCACTCTCAACGTGTTTATCAGGAACTTGGACATTTTCTTGAGTAGTGAATAAAGATGTTAAAAATTGAGGCCCAGCCAACAAACACCCACGCCTGACATACAGTACAGTGTGACACCATATGGCAACATGGCTCACATCACTCACTCCCCAGTCATGAGGATGGAGATGGAGGAGAGGGCAGCAGTAGAAATAGTCATAATTAGGATTGGACTGCTTATTGTTCAGCCAAGCTGTTTTGTTTGTTCACTAAGCAAAAAGAGGCTCTCAAGCTTTCCATTCTCTGTCAATCAACCTGAAGACACAAAGCAATCAATGACAGAGAAGGTATTCAGTTTACATTTAATGTAATGAACTATTTTCCTTGGTTCAGTATCCTAAGCTCCCCACAAAGGCTACTCAAATGTTCTGGTAATGAGCAAAAAGAGTGCCTTCTGTTTTAACTGTGGTTGTAGGGTCTGAGTTATGGCTTTAGAAGCTTCTGATAACTAACTGACATTATCTGAGTCCATAGGTGCAGCTGTGGATGTATTTTAAGACCTACCTTCAAATGAGGAAACAGGTTTGCAGCTGCACATGGGGACAAAGATCTTACTTTCTGGAGAAATGTCCTCTGGTCCGATGAAACAAAAATGGAACTGTTCAGCCATAATGACCATTGTTATATCTGGAGGGAAAAGGGGGGAGGCTCACAAGCCGAAGAACACCATCCCAACCATGAAGAACGGGGGTGGCAGCATCATGTTGTGGAGGTGCTCTGCTGCAGGAGGGACTGTGGCACTTCACAAAATAGATGACATAATGAGAAATGAAGATTATGTGGATGTATTGAAGCAACATCTCAAGACATCAGCCAGGAAGTGAAAGCTTGTTTGAAAATGGGTCTTCCAAATGGACAATGACCCCGAGCAGACTTCCAGAGTTGTGGCAAAATGGGACAACAAAGTCTAACTACTGGCATGGCCATCACAAAGGTCTGACCTCAATCCAATAAAATATTTGTCTGCGGAACTGAAAAAGCATGTGTGAGCAAGGAGGCCTACAAACCTGACCCAGTTCCACCAGTTCTGTCAGGAGCTTGTGGAATACATGCCCTAAGGTTTGACCCAAGATAAACAACTTTAAGGAATGTGATGACAGAAATAAATCTTTTTTTCTCATTTTGAAATTTCACATTCTTAAAATAAAATTGGGATCCTAACTGACTTAAGACAGGAAATGTTTATGGGATTAAATGTCAAGAGTTGTGAAAAACTGAGTTTGCTTTAGAGACAATGCAGAATTTCAGATGTCAGATCACTTGTGACACATTTATGGTGGTAGTATGGTGACCATTTACTGTAAAACCTTAATGAAAAATCAAGGCTAAATATTCCAAACACCCTCCTCAAATTAAACTGTATTTATTATTGGCTTGTACAGGCAGGTACAGTATGATACCTTAGAACATGCCAGTGTTAGTAAAAACAAATGAAATGTGCATTTGTGATGGCAGCTGTAGTCTAAAGTGACTGATCTGTTTATGCTGCACTGGAGCAGCTAATTTAACATTATTACCTTTCTCAACGTCAACGCCATGCCACTTTAAAATAAACAACCTCCAGCCTTGTTTCACTCTTAGCTAAATGACACCATCACGTCTTTGGCTTATTCAGGTATTTAGTTTTGCTCTGGGCAATGACTTCATTCATTTCCCATTTACATATTCACAGCAGACTAACGGATATCAAATATAGCTGGAATGTGAGGCTGCCTCAGCTTTAATTAGGGCATGTTAAAGTTTTAAAATGTTATCCTTCTCTGCTTCATGGTCCTTGTGAAAAGCTCATAAATAAATTGAGGAGGAGTATCCGCCTCTAAACTCACTGGGATTTACAGTACAAGGAGATGAGTGTGCTCACAAGAATGTGGAACAGGAGATGGGGGTCTAAAATGAGCATTAGCTAAGTGGTTTTATCACAGTTTATATCTAATCTACAACGTTTTTTATTCCTGTCAATAACTTGTCTCTCAGTAAAAGTCATATGAAGCATATGACATCAGAAAAGGAAACGAAATGTGTGCAGCAGTTTCAGTAGGCTCTTTATGGACAGTATTATGGTCTTTACACTGCAGGGCACATTTCTGATAGGCTGTCAGGATATGCAGACAGACTACAATAATGAACACTGACGTGGAGTACATTTATTGTACCGACTTAAGAAAAAGCTGACAGTTTCAGTGTCCCCTGAGGTGGGGTTGTGTGGTACAGCAGGGAATCCATAAACAAACATTCGATTTGCATTAATAAGCCGAGTGGCCACTGCCCTGTTTAGATGCTCATAAATCTAAGAGGGCTGCCCTCTCCTTCATTAAATTATAAAGGATCCATGAGCCATGAAACATTAACAGCGAAGCATCGTACTGGTCACTAAAAATAGAGAGGCCTAATTAAAAAAGTTTTTTTTAAATCTCCACATTCATATTGTTACTTAAGACTCCTTTTAGCTGTCCACTTCCCCGGAGGTCAGGAGAGAGCCAAAATCTGGCATCCCAGTATATCATGTGTGTTTTCAGGGTGTGGCCTGTGCATCAGCAAAACATTAACATGTTCCTGTGATGCCATGTGGAGGGAGATACAGTACAGCTGTTCTTGCAGACGGGGACACTCTTGCTGAAGCGTTCCGTCTCTGCCAGGAGGTCCATGATGCATCCTCTTGTTCCATTTTAAAATCCAAATTCACTTACAGCACATAAGTTAAGAGTGCTGCCAGCTAAAATGCAAGCTGTGTTGGGTCTAAAAGAGTTTTAAAAAATCATGGGCTTTGCACTTAGGAGGATTAATTTCATGCACTAAAAAGAAAAAGAGGAGTGAGAGTCCCGACACATCATTATCACCTGAAGACAGGGCACCCCATAGGGCAAATGATATTTATTCTCATAAAATATCATACATTTCTCCTGATGTCTTAAAATACATTTCATGACTGATCATATGTTTTAAATGGGAGCAAAAAATGGTTGTGTGGAGATTGCTGTGCTTTTGGTGATGTGAATCTAATACACACTAGTGACTTTTTGAGACCCGGTGGTATAAATATCAACCATCTGTGAGGCCATCTGCATTGGGGTGCTATATCCCACACCAAGGCCAAGCCACCAAATGCAGACAGGTTGACTCCCATGATGTCATCAACACTGCATGTATGACAAGTCACAGAATAGATCTGCTCTCATATTTGAAGTTGTGTTGTCTTCTTTTTATCCATAAATCAGGTCATCTTTTAAAAGAGCTATCATGATAGCCTCAGTGCTGCATAATACTGTGCTTTGTGCAGCTGCATACTCTACCCTTTCTCCAGATCTCATCTTTTTGGAGAAAAAGCCTGCTTTGGTACAAGAATATAAGGTGCTTTTTTTTAATCTAGTGTTTTTGGACTTCTGTACTTAGATTACAGGACTGTTATGATTGCAGGAGCAAACGTTTGTAACAACCAGCCATCCCTCATCGTTTGACAGTTGATATTGCAACAGTTCTGAGGATTTTTGCTTTTTGAATTGTTGTGTCTCACTTCTGTGAATACAATCTCCTCTAGAGATAAGTCGCAATAAAATTGTGACCTTTTATTTTCAGTTGAAAATACAAACAGCAAAATGAAGGAAAAATGCAAAGCACACAAAATACCCAACCATGCAAGACTGAAGACATCATTTATTTGTGTTTTATCTGCTTAAATGGTGTTGTGTATTTGTTGTACTGTCTCTCATTGACTGTTTACTGTGGACGTGTTTCTTTGTGTGGGTGTGTATTCTGAAAGAGAGAAAAATAGGCAGAGAGAGAGTGGATGTTTGCATGTGTGTGTACTTGTACATGTAAGACACTGTTTCAAGCTGTCTGGTTATTGGAACGGAAAGAAATGGAAGAAGGCTGGTGCTGAAAAGCAAGCCACTTGAAGGGGAAAGAGACAGCAAGTGAGAGCAGAGAAGCCATCAGCAAGTGAAAATCCTTTTATTTCTTTAGGTTGTTGAGACACAAAAGAGGAGGATTAATTTGTCTTAAGGTCTGAGAGACTTCAGCCATCAGCAGCACTCCCCCTTTTGCAACTTGTTTATCTAGCTTAGACCATTCTGCTCTCGTAAAATATCTTATCAAAAGCCGATGAAAAATAAATTTGGTCTGGCAGCTTTTCAAAGCGGACTATTTGACTAAATGTTTCAGTCCTAAAGTTTCCCAAAGAGCATTGTGAAACATAATACAGTATGTAGCAATGTCATAGTGACACTATATTATATTGCAAAATACCTTAAGATAACATTTAAAAGAAAATAAAAAACATATAAGGCCTATTTAATTTAGACCTCACCTCTGAGTTCCAAATAAATCCTAAAGACTGTTCAGTTGTATATTAAAGAACTGTATGTTACCAAAAAAAAAAAACATTAAATGCAACGTTAATGCCTTTTCTTCGCGTCAGGCACATGATGTGTGTGTGTTGCAAAATGCTCGGGCTGCGTAAGAGAACTTCAGACTCTAGAGGTCTCCATCCTTCAGCATCCCCTCATCATCCACCTATTCGCCCTCCTCTTTCTCCTCCTCCTCCTCCTCTCTGGCATTTTGTGCAGCGGAGGAGGAAAGGAGGAGAGACTGCTGAGGAGGAGACAGAGGGGACCCCGAGACAACACGTCCCACGCCAGAACCAGACAGGAACTTTGATTTGACGCCAAGTAGGCTGCGATGAAAATGACGATGAAGAGAACGAGTCACGTTTCTTCTTCTTGGGAGGCTTAGATATGTCGGGCGTGTGCAACATATGATGTCCTTGTACTCATATGCTCAATGAAGATTTATTTATCTCTGATAAATCTCTCCTCTATTCTCTGATGGTGCCGCTTTCCTAGTGCCTGCACTTGGGTCAGCCGAATGAATTTGAAGGCAGTCTGAGCGCAATGTTTCCAGCTCCGTTGCATATGGGATTTCCAGCCGTGATGTCTGCAATATTTCGTTCTTTGTTTCTGGGTAAGTCACTTCCCATTCCTTCATAACATAATGAATTAATTTAAAAAGCAACGGAGCGTGATGATGTGAGAATTGTTACTGGCGATGTGGACGTTGATGTCTATCGTTATTATATTTGCACTAATTGTATGTACACATATGTTTAACACATCCTCAACAACACATCTGACAAATGTTTTCAGTCTCGATTTAGGATGATGTCAGAATATATTTATTATTTATTTTTCAGTTTATTTCACATAGTCACCGTCACATATAAAAGCTCATGTGAAGAAATTCAGTGCTATCTGAAAAACGGAAAAAGCACAAGTCAACTTTATTTCCAAACCAGAGGCTGCTTTACTTGAGCCAGCTCTCAAAAGAAAGGAAATTTAAAAAAAAAAGTTCACCTGACCCCTCCCTGTGACTCTGCTATCCAGATGTATGACTCTGTGTAAGCATATCTTGCATTGACACAGGCTTGCTGCAGATAAACAAACTGTTCTCTGCCATTTTTGACAAAGGACAATTATTCAAATGTAGCATAGTGAGTAACAACTGAGACCAGGCAAGATTAGATTAGTTTACATATGCTGGCCCAGTTGTGATGGTTCTGTAATGTCATTTTAAGGATGAAAATGTTCAAATTTGTTGAGAGTTATCATTCACTTTTTAGTTTAAAGTGTAGTTTGAAATTGTCCATTGGAAATATTTGGCATCTTTCATTATAAGTCAGTGTTGTCTCTTGTGTTCAGAGGCAAAACACCTTCCTTTGCAATGTATCTTACTATTATCCATACTAACACCAATATTGCTCTTATTGCTGCTGCTGCTATTACTAACATTACAGTAATGTACTGAGAGCCTGGAGGAGCTTCCAGGTACAGAGCTGAATGGGGGGTTTTGTAAATCCACTGTGACTCCACTGACTGAAAGTTACTGAGAGACAGTGTGTAAAAATGACTTCCAGTAAGAGGTTTTTCCTCACTGCTGGCTCATCACCTGTTCTATAGGGGGGGGTCAGATCTTTTTTTGTCCAAAGTAAACTCTAGAGTGTGAGGAATGTTTTATCCATGACCTGTTGGCCTGTCTGTTCTAGTTTGCGTCCAGAAGTCGTGCTGTACTCCGTTCGCTGTTTGTGGTGTCGCACTTTGTTTAGATATCACAAGACTCCATTGTTTGTATTGATGTGGCTTGTGCTCAGGCCGTGTAAATACCGAAAGAGTTTGTTATCTTGCCATTTTAGTCACTTATTCACATATAGTTGTGATGCCTCTGACGCTGAATAAGACAAGCAATATAAAAAAAATCTGCATATTCTGTGGGCCAGCATACATGCTGGCTTGTTAAGGGTTACTTCAGTCTAGCAGTGAATCCACAGCGTGTGCTCAGTGGAGATGTTCACTGATCTTAGGGTTAACTAAAGGAGCTGACTTGGCAGCAGTTAACGCATTCAGGTTTTGTTGTTGTTGTTAGATTATTGTGATTCAGGCTTAACTTGCATATTCTCTAAAGAGTCCACACCAGTGTGCTGTACTTACTGATGGTGATGAGGATGATGCCTTTCTTAGCTGGCACACCTAAGCCAGTGATTGCAAGGTGAAAACATGAATGCTACACTTTTCTTAAAATAACCATGAGCATGTGCCAAGCACGTGAAATGACATGTTGCCATGGTGAGACATTTTCTCCTTCCTCTGTGATGTCACCAGATATGACTGTATAAAACTGTGCAGCTGAAAAATGATAATAATAGGCTGACTTTCCAGTATATCTGCAACCGGAGATGAGTGTCGCTTTTGGGAGAACAAAGTATCCACCAATCAGCTAAAAAGAGATGTATATATGGATATATGGTGCTTTCAGGCTAGACTGCTCTGCTGCCCCAGAATGAAGGGCACTTTCTAAAAGTTATAGCCTGTATTAATTCAAGATCAACACTGAGGCCAAGCAGAGTGAGGAAGTGGTTTTATTACAAAAGAAAAATCAATAGTCATTAATAGGGGCTCATTTCCTTTTTATTTGGCTTTGGCCTCACAAGTCCTGAGAAGTCCTTAATTTAATATTTGTTGGAGATGTAATATCCACTGTTCACATTACAGATAAGTAGCGCTATTAATTGCCACAGAGACTTCCGTAACTCCCTCCGGTAATTCTGCGGATGCAAAGTAAGAAACAGAACAAGGTCAAATAAAGTACCTCTGTGACAGTGTCGTGCAGTGGTGGTTTCCACCAGGTAAAGGAGATTAGTGATGGTCTGCCTATTTGCCTCTGTGCCAGGATTAAATGATTCTGAATAAGGGAATTTTAAATGACTGTTCAAGAAGTAATAACATCATGTAAGTCACTTGACAGATACAGTATACAGTCGGAGAGAACGAGAAGCTTTTCCATGTGCGATCCCACTTGGTGGAGCCTTATTTTTATTTGAGCATCAATCTGTAAGACAATGTACAAAGCAGGGTCTTAACATCATTGTATGTGTGTTGATGCTTGTGTGTCTACATTCATGCATACTATATGTGTAGAACAGTGAGAAGATGGCAGCGCCTATGTGCGTATGCTACTGTGTGATGCAGATAAAGAGAGCAGTGGCTCCAAACAAAAATTCTGTCCCGATTCTATATTTAGCATGTCTGCTGGGGTAGGCAGAGGTTCTCTGAAATGTGAAGATGACAGGAGCCTCCTGAGCCAGAGGTTATGAAGTGACATCTTGATGTGTTTGCGCCTGAATCACGCTTCCACACACACCCAGCCTTAGACTCCTGACAGTCCTACAAACCCAGAGACGTTTTGATATTTGACGTCTAGTTACCATACATTAAGGCTTTGTTTTGATCTCCTTTTGGCTTCTTCAGTGCATGCATAGTCTCAGCTCTGAAAATGCTTAGGGGTTTTTTTGCTGTTTTTTTTTTTAGATCATGTTATGAAATTGACAGATCTGCTTTGTGGAATCGGAACATCAGAACATCAGAGCAAGATATTTAAAGTATTTCTCAAATAGTTGTTAACCTTCCCATCACATTGTAAAACCATGAACCTCTAAATGACCTCCAGCCTCACTTTAATTGGCAAGTACAAATTACACAGGCTTTATTTCATGAACATAATCCTATGTATCTATAAACACTTAGGAAGTTCTCATACGCGGGCTAAGCTAGAGGACAACACATATAGTATGCCCTCAGGAGTGAATATCCACTCAATACTGCATTAAAGCTATAGATACCGTATAGCTGCAGCTGTTGAGGGACAAATATCAAATAGCTAGCTGTGCAACTATTTGCACTGTGCAGTTAAATGACTTCCTTTCCACCTACAGTGTCAGCGATATGACATGCAGGACAAAGTGTAAACAGACTCAATGGAGAATTGTATTACAAAGCAAAGTAGCAACTCTCAATGCCTCAGCAAGGACAGATCACCCTGGTTTGTAAAACCTCCATCAAGGGTTACTGTAGAGGCCTGCCGATGAGGACAGAGGTCCAGCTGTCCTTAAAACAATTGACCCATATCATTAACAAACAATGATTTGCCTTCTGAGCACTTTCCCCCTGATGTATATGGCCTTTGAATGACAGCATGCTTCCCTGAATAACAAGGCATCCTCCTTTTGTACCTGAGGGCTTCTTTATGTTTCATTGATTGTGGTGCTTTTAGTCCTAAGGTCTTTCTGTTCTGTTGTAGCAAGCTGGATGCCACGATTCCAGTGAAAGTGCTTGTAGGTGAAAGTGCAGCTGCTTTGAAGAGTATGTGCTTTTATTTCTACTAGTGGGGTTCTAGTAGCTTGTGTTTACATAGCACCCAAAGATGTCAGAGGTAAAAATAAAGGCTGCACTGGTAAAATGAGTAGATTTTGTTTGAATCCAACTGTTGTTTTTGCTGTATTTCTTTAACAGTTTCATCGTCTTTCTCTTTGTGTGCCTCTGCCACACCCATAGTTTCCAAGCTATTGGAGATTGATTCTGCACAGGCTTTTTGTCACTTACATCTTGTAAAACACAAAACACATGCCTAGACAGAGCTGGGTTTGTGTACTGATCCTGACCTATAAACCCTCCCCCCTTTTCATCCTTCACTGGGAAAATTGCTGCCAGATTATTTTGGAACGTATGAACGGGAACTGCCTATTTCACTTTGCTGCTAATCTTTGACAGATGTTCTGGAGAGGCTCACATTCACATTAACCGGAGCCACAGGCGCAGTCTACATATGACCCTATACCTGTATGTTGTACAGCACACAAACAACCACACATGTTGTAGGGATATACCTGTGGCAACTACTTGCTGTTTTATGCAGTAGGTTGACCAGAGGATCATTTTGATTGATCAAACCCAAACTGATTTAAGCCAGATTGAGATGAGAAACAAATCAAAGGAAAGTTTTGCAACACTCAAGACACTTACATTGTTAGAAAGGTGTTCCTAATATTTTGCAAAGTATGTTTTAGTGCTTAAACAATTAGTAGCTTCATCAGTTTGTCACCTGGCATACAATTAAGCAGCAACAAATTAAACAAATGTCATCATTATTTGTCAAGCAGCAACCCTGTCTTAATTAAGTTATATTTATACAATACTAGATTGCAACAGCATTTACAGTTTTGAGGAAAACATCATGAAAAATGTTGATACCGAACATATTGTCATAATGATTGCTGACAATGTACTTCATTTGTTTTCTTGTAATATCCACTCTCGCAATAAAATTTCCAGTCATAATAACTATAACATGATAAAAATGCATTTTGTTATGGTTATATTTAGGCATTGACAACACTCGATTAAGGTTAAGGAACATCTGTGGACTTTGTTTTGCTGAAAAGGTCGGCAGTGAGTTAAAGCATGAAATAGGATAGTTTTACTCTATTAAACCACAAGCTCTCTTAACCTTTTATTTCAGTGCTTTTGTTGCCTAAATCTAACTACGCAGGGGACTCTTCAGCATCCATCCTGGATAAGGATAATCACCTTTATTGGCCAAGTATGTTACACACAAGGAATTTGTTTCCGGTACAG